CACAGCATAACATTCATGTTGGAACACTCTCTTACTATGTATTCGTATAAGAAATAACGGCTTAAATGATTCTTTTTGTTTTAATCTGTAAATCAATTGGCTATCAGCAAATAAAAGTCAATTTAATATGCCTTCCAGTTAAAAACTTTTATTAGCATACCTATGATAAATACATAAATTTATTTTAAAAAAATAATAATAATAAAGGAAATAAACAAATTAATAATAGTCTACAATTATACACACATGCCAATTGTGGCTCCAGAAATTTGTCGACAGGTCTGACTCAAGGGGCCGACTAGAGCCTCGGTGGTCAGGGACCTGGCACAACAATCCTGATAGGGATTGCAGAGGGAGTATTTTAAAAGGATATGATGCTAATCCTTAATTTCATTTAATTTTATTTATAATTTTAACTGATAGCCATGCTTTCAATTGTGTTTTTGTACATCTTTGTTGTCTTCCAATATTTTTCCTTTTAATTTGTACACAAATGAAGCTCCTTCCTTTCAAATGCACAGTATGTACACAGAGATTTCAACTGGGTTTCGGAAAACTGAGTTTTGGCAAACTAGGATTTCATGATTTCAGTGAACTAGATTGGGCATTCTGGGTTTCGGCAAACTGAGTTTCTGCAAACTGGGATTTAATGATTTCAGTAAATAACTGGATTCGGCAAACTGGATTTGGACAAACTGGTTGGATACCTTCTTGAATACTATTACTATCAGCAAGAATGCATCCTTGTCACTGAAAGAGATTTTGTATTAGTTCCAGATCTTTGTAGCAGCTAAGAAAAGCAGACTCGAAAGTCGTCCTGCATGCAATGCATGCTTTATGGAATTACAACCAATACATAAATATCAACCGTTCCATTCTGGAGACATCGATATTGCAGTCGTTGCTACTGTATATCTTATTTTATGACAATGGAGAGAGGGTCATTCTAGACACAACACTGGCAAATACCGAAAGTTGTTCAAATTAAGTGACATTAACTTTCACCAGAAAAGAAATCATCCCTTATTGGATCTCGGGCTTCTGTAGTCAAAGGCAAAGTTTTGTTGACACGTTCTGCAACATTAAAGTTTTAGATGTTCTGTCACAAAAGATGTATGAGGAACTTGAATACTGCGGCATGGAGTTAAGGGGAAAAGTGTAAATCAAGCAAGATGTGAAATGTTCAATAGAGGCAACAAGATCAGACATACCATTGCTACCACCATGTTTGCAAGCAGACCCTTGAGCACTTGAGCAAATTTTAATCGCTAAAGAAAATTAAGCAGAAGTATGATTTGGTCAATAAAAATAGTATTCACAACAGATGGAATGATCAACTGAAGCAAAAAATTATTGAGACAGTGATGCCCATGGACGTCCAAGAACTGATTATAATAAAGACGAAGATTTTCATATTGCAGTGATATTAGCAATACATGAAGATTAGCTCAACATAGGGTTACACAGTAAAGGACTATTATGTAATAAATGAATTAATGCCTTTATGCATGCAAATTATGGTAGTTATTTGTGTGGTCCTCTGGAATACCTTGTGTTTTTATGTAAGACAACCGTATATTTGTAAGGAAACTGGAATTTTTTTAGGATTCTGGTGATATTTTCCATTCTTTAAAACAGAAAAGGGCTAATATAAGGGGGCATTTTTACTTACATTTCCAAAAGTGAGTTAGCTTACCACCCTAAAATATGTTATTTTGGGTTTAAAAAGTCAACAGCAGTTATTTCATTCATGATTTGTAAATTACACAAAGTTATTTAGGGTATTGAAGCTGCTGTTAAGTTGTTCTTTAATTTTGGCGGCCACTTTAAAAAGCGCCCTCAATTGCCTCTCGAAATCTTCACATTAATAACTTTAGCTAATTATAATTTACTCCTATCATTACATATTCGAAAGTTAGTCAAACCTACACCTTCTGTGCTCATTTTACCCATATATATGCAGTTTATTGGATTTTGGCGGCCATTTTGATAAAAGCGCCCTCACGCGAAAGTTCTCAGGTTACGCCCCTTTTACCTCACATATTCTGATTCCCCATAAAAATCTGGTCTAGAAAAACCATATGAGAATTTCTACCTCTCCAAGTGGCACCTATCTCAATTATAGCCTGGTCTAATAGGCCGCTAGGTCAATATTTGGCGTTTGGGTTGATTAAAATTATCGTCATGTTTAAGACATATGCTTTCGTTCGTCCTAGTTACCTATAGCAATTAATGCTCAAAACGGGCCCGGCAAAAAGACCTCCCTCCATCCGACTTGGTGCGGATCCCGTTGCGGCTAATATGAGATAGTGAGGGGAATGTTTATGACGGACCCCATCAGTAAGCAAATTTTGTTGGAAGATTTTAACCTTAGGATATCTTATATCTTATCCCTTACGGTAGGCCTATATCCGACCAGTTTGTCGAAATCCAGAGCTTGCCGAATTTTTTTTGTCACGATGTAGACCTATAAAAGCGCAGCACACTGTGCTTTTCAAAAATGATGGGTAGGTCAGGGAGTATAGGCTAGCCAAAATACTTGAAAACAACAACTTATTGATATATTTAATTACTTTTTTGTCCTATTCTATTATCAAACTTGATTGACTCGGGAGTGCCAATCAAACTTAACAACTGACAAATCAGAACAGAGTTCGGAATACTCGCACGTCTGTCACTAACACACGTGTTGGGCCCACCTACGCACGACATATGTTTTAACCACTGATCTCTACTATAATAGATTAGTGGTTTTAACAGTGTCGTTAGCAACAATATCCAAGGGGCGGGGCTTAGAGGAAAAGTCTATTGTTTGATTGTTGTTGACACTCCGGAGAGATGCATTGGATTTTGCTGGAAATTCTTCTGTCTATGCGCCTTGAGCACCTTTGGTGGAGATGTGCGCTTTATAAATCGTTGTTGTTGTTGTTGTCGTCGTTGTTGTTATTATTATTATCCATCACCCCTGTTTGGCATCGTAAAGATGACGTCAATTAAGAAAACACCTTTGCAGATTTCGAAGAAAACACTATTTTATTCAATAACATGATAAATTATATATAATTTATTATAAAATACATACGATGAAATATTCATTATATTTTGAAATTTAAATTACACTACATAGGGAGAACTCGATGGTTTTTAATAGTATAACAGTACTGTATAATAAATCACACAATACCAAATAACAATGCTGTGGCACGAAAATGAAAGCTAGACTTCGTTTGAGAACAATGATAAACGAAAGCAAAATTGTAAACTTAATTTACTTTAGAGGTTACTGCACTACACCTTACGAATAAGCCAAAATGTTGATTGTCATTCTAAACAGTGCCACTGAATCAAGCGTTGTAGAGGAGGAGGTCTATTCTAAAAAAACAGTATTGACTGCAAATATCTGAAATAATCTAATATAGTAATTTCCAAATTGTCAATAACCCGAATCTACGATGATTTTATAAATAGAGTGGTATTCCTAATATGGTGGTGCTCTTATGTAGTATTCTTATGGTGATGTTCTTAATCCTTTAATAGTCATCCAAACTGTCGTGTTCATAAATGATACGCTCTTATTAATGTTAGCATAATGATAGTGTTAATGATAATGATAATGAATGTGTCTTCTTTGGAAGACACATTGCCTTATTGATGGTATTTTCCACGATGGTGGTTTTGTTGCATAATGGTAGTGTAAAAAAATGATGGTGATTTTAGTGGCAGCATTCGTACTATTATCTTGGGTTTCTTAATGATGATTTTTTAAACAAATTGATAAGTCAATCCTGGTCCAACACTTTAAAATGATGATATACTTTATAACAATTTAATGCTTTCAACACATAAGTCAACCCCTGCACATGGATCTTCATAATACTCTTCAAATACATTAAAAACATTGACAAGAGGAAACATTACGACAGCTCCAACAAATGATCCAATCTGGGTCACTATACCAAACCAAAGTAACAACAGGCGATTGTTAGGCTGACTACGCATAATCCCTCCAATTGTTGCTTTCACATAACAAAATAATCCAGCCGTACACATCCAAGCTAAGATCTATTTGAGAAATAAAAATCAAAATCAAAGACAGAATTTTAAATAACATGTTGGATGGATTGTAATTTTTAACAGATTATTAATGTGAAATCCATGTTATATTGTTGGTGAGCGTGCATTTATCCAAAGTTATATAGCGACAGGACACATCAAGCATTGTTTAGAGGCCCAAAAAATGTATAAAAAACAAACAATAAAATAAAAACAATTGTGACAGATACAGCTCCACCAATTTCCTTGTTTTAACTGTAAAATGGTTCTCTAATTATGAGATTTTGGATCAATGCCTAAATCAAATCAACAGGGTTATATGCCAACACACAAGGTAAATTATCTTGCTTTGATGATTGGAGACACATATTAAGGCCAACTCAGACAGCGTCGGCCGACGCAGCCCGACGCGATTTGTTGTCGCGTCGGGTATGTGTGAGTTGAACGCAGACGCGATGGTGTGCGTCGGGGGCAGTCGCGTAGTAGAATATTAAACGTGTTTAATATTTCTCACGACGGCTTAAAACTGTCCCCGACGATAAATCGGGTCGGGCTGCGTCGGCCGACGCTGTCTGAGTTGGCCTTTAGCATACTCACCACAATGACATCTCCAGCAGCAGAGAACTGAAGAGGAGGAGATGGGCTCAAAGCTGCCGTCAACATACAATACGCTCCAGTTATGGTCACCAGAAATGTCAACACAGAAACCAACAGGATACTAGAAAACATCTTGAAGGAGGCAGCAAGATACATGATTGGCATAACAATGTTATCCAGAGCAGCAGCTAAATGGAAGGTCTTCATGCCATACGGTCCACAGGAATATGTTTGGATGGCTGGTAAAACTGAGTTACCAAGTGCATTCACCCATCCAAGAAGAACCAGAAGATAGATGACACATCTCCTGCCAAGAAGCCCAAATGGCAGGTTAACAGTTTTGACATCAGGATCATCTAGATTGACTGTCTTAACCTCTTGTGTAGCTTCATCACCATCGCTAGTTATGTCATCATCTGGACTGACTGCCTGAAACTCTTCAGTGGGTTGATCACCATTATTCCTCCTTGACATCAACGATGTCTCTTGTTCTTTTACATCAGGGTCTCTGTCTGCTGATGTTCCATTCCTCAACATATATGTACTAGTCCTCTCCTCTTTCTTTGGTGCTGCATCTTCACTGTTCACACTCTTTAATTGTTCTTGTTTGGCAATTGGTAAATAGTTTAGCAGGAGAAAAGAGATGCTACTACAGAATGTCATCACAAATAAAAAACTGAAAAACACTTCTGTTGAAAACCTTGCTTGTGGATACTCAATCTCCCAATCCCTACACTCTAGCAGCACAGTTATATTACCTTCCGTAGTCGTATTGGAATATACCTCTGATAATGGAACACATTGAGGCTGCTCTCCAACTCCCTGCATTAACGCAACCATACTTGGCAAGAGGGCACTCAACCCCTCACCAACGAAGAAGTACATGAGATACCTTCCAGGGAATCTGGACATAAATGGGATGTAGGTGACAGGAGTTGTACAGGCCACAGCAGCCATGACAAGGGTCAACAATAGCATCGCAGTACTGTGTTCCTGATTGTCCACGATCCAGTAAGATGTCGTGTCCCAGAAAAATATCAACAGCAACGTCGACAATGATGCTAAAGATATCAGAATGTAAATAGTTGGAATCTCAAGTCTTTTTTTCTTTGGTGAACAATAAGTTGCAATTGTGAACAACAAAGGGCCGATATTTCCAATCTGCGTAATAATAATCAAATATGAACCTAATGTGTAACCTTCTGGGACGCCAGTAGCTACAAGTAGAGGTAACTCTACCCACAATGCATTGAAGGAAAGCCATGTACCGGAACCAAATATCATAACGAGAAACATCACTATCCATGAAAAGCTTTCATTTTCTGACTTTTTCATTGTTGAGGTTTTTTTTTTTTTTGCTGGATTCTGATCACAATTACTGAGAAAAAAAAGTGTTAATGCTATCAATTTTAATACATACTGTATACTGTTAAATATGAGTAATAAGTCGAACACTTGAGGAATTGAATTGTGCAATGAAATATTAATAAAGCGTAAACTAAGCTAGCAATTCCATGTACAGTATTGTCGTTTGTGAAAATAATTACAGTGTACTTCCAAATTAATCACCTGATGAAGACCACTGTGTGGTTGGAAGCATGTACAATAATAAAGTTTGTTAGTTTGAAAATGCTGTTTGTCTTTAATTTAAAGTAACTGGAGAACAACATTTTTATGTGAAGGGGTCAGTAAGGTGTGGGGCTGGGGGGCAGAAATGTTGTACCCCTTACTGCCTCGAACACTTTGTAAGCCGGATATTATATTGCAATTTACAAAAGATCTGTGGCTGAGGCAGTACATAATGGATGGGTTACGAAATGTCGTAATGTGTAGGACTACGTGATGTGCTGGCAGTCACAGTGCAGACTGCACCAGACGAAGTATGACGATGTGTCAAGGTTCGGGTATAGGTCCCTCCTTCAAAACGTAATAGGCCTAGTATGGTAACCTGGACTAGTCATTGTAGAACCTGCATAGGCCTGGCGAATACCACCAGCTTGGCGGCTGCGTGTCACCCTAGAAGGGTAGACCGTGGCCCTAGGGTATTTAGTAGGGGCCTAGCCTAGAAATTTCTAATAAACATATTTAACCATAGAAACTATAGGCCTACAACTAGTTTTCTGAACCATAAACCTCTGACAACGCTTCGATAACGCAAAAGAACCTACTTTTCCAAGTACGTTCATTGTTGACAAAGCACTGTCCGCACATCTGCTGGTATAATTCTACCACCGCTCTACACCACAGCTCTACTGCTGGACTGACCTTCAATTCGTTTTGCGTCAGTCATTTGACAAAGCGTCATAATGCGTCTGCGATAAATGCTCGGGTCTTAAAAACTGTCTTAATGATTACGTTTTTATTTTATATGTTCACGTAAAATATATTTTTGCTGGCTTCAACAGTATGATAAATGAATAAGGGAAAATATAATGTGCTTATATGTTAGCCCGACCTCCCCTTCCCCCTAAATTGTTCAATAAATATGAAAAAAAATTGAAAACAATTTTTCCAGGAGAAACAAAATCCAATGCAGTTTTTACAGAATGTGAGACACTAAATGGATTACATAAGCCTTTTAAATCCTTAGTTTGTCAAATTTTGGGGAGCTTCTCTCCAGGACCCCGTTTCAAGGGGACGACGAACCCCTCGGGAAATTAGGCTGGCGCCCACCTGACTTGCTTTGAGAGAGTTGAGAGCTGTAGGTTAGAATCCCAGAGACACTTTTTTCATGCTATAAAAATGAAACTATTCATTGAACGGATACGAATATAGATTTTAAAAAATAATTTAAAAAATGTCCTATTGCAGTTACACTTCTTTTTTTTATTTTTTATAAGAACACATTTTATAAGAACACTGAGGCTGAAATTGCATAAAAATTAAGAACAAAATAAGAACAAATTGAGGCCGCCGAGGTAGAATGTCAAACTAGAAAAACCAAAAAATTATATCTGTACCTTATGTGCAATAGGTGTGACTATGCAATACCCTCTATAATACAGTACAGTAGGTGTACCTACCTCCCATTTGGGGCCATTTTTTAACCGGGGCCATTTTTGCCGGGCCTTTCATTCAGGGGCCATTTTTTGCAGGGCCGCTTTCTCCTCCCAGTACAGTGTATAATGTTGTACAATGATAATTTTCTATGTTTGAAAAGTGTGTAAAATATGAACAAGATAAGAACATTTTAAACCTGAAATTGGCCAAAAAATAATAACACTGAGTCTGAGCAAAATTTTACTGGTTCTTATAAAAAAAAGTGTACGTTGAATAAATGACGTTGTGTCGTCGTCATTGCAAAATTGATTGGGGTTGATTGTTTCAATTGAATGGCACGAGTAACGTAGACATTTTTTTTACCATCGAATGTCCATATCATGAATAATTATTACGGTACGGTATAAACAAGCACATGGATATAATTTTTCGAAAGAAAATGTATGGAATTTTTTAGGAAATAAAAATGTTAGTGGCATTTTATTACATTTCAATTTATATAGTTGATGTATCAGATTTTACCCGCCGGCAACCGATCTCTGCTCATACTAAGTTTGAGATCAAGCGCATGGACTAAACGCTTGCCCGTTTATAGTAAGTACACAATTTGACACATTCTCACGCTTTAGTGCGTGACATAATAGCATTAGCCGTCAGCCGCAGTGGTCCAGGGAAATCGATTGAATAGCGGTAAAACCTGAACGTGAGCAATGTCGGATGAAGAAAGAATAAGCAAGATTAAGGCTGTAATTGGAGTTTATCCAGACTATCCCAAGCCGGGCATAAATTTTAGGTATTTACTATGATTTTAGCTTTTTTTTTTATAATAGGGTCTACTCATTCCTAGTGACAACTCGACTGCTGGACACCTCATCTAGGACTGTAGTAAGGTAGCCGTAGTTATAGCAGTTGTCTGCTCGCTGCTCTCTGCTATAAATTGTATAAAGTCGCATGATGTAATTATAAAGAAACAACATCAGCAATTTACAAATCTTTTATTTTGCTAGAATTTTATATTATATTTTTGTTGCCTTTTGATTATATATATTTTGTTTATCTTTGGATGATGCTGCACAGTTAGGTAGGGGCCTATTTCTAACGTGTGCCAATAAATATTGTATTGTACATGTAATACATAAAAAAAACCCAAAAAACTCAGCCCATAGCACAGGATTATGACGTATCTAAGGGGGTGTGCACGCACACCCCCAACATTTCTTGCAGTCCCCCAGTCTCCCCTTCCCAAAAAAATCACCTTATTTTCCGAATTAGCGCCCCTCAACTGATCATCGAGCCCCTCCCATCAGCACCCCCATTTTAAGACTTCTAGATACGCCACCACACAGGACTGCCATTGGGCGCATGGATGTATAAAAATGGACCAACTGGTGAATGATGTCTCATGGCCCTGCCACGTAACTTGTAGTACATGTATAAATATTGTGTATGTTTATGTTTTCCAGGGATATCTTCCCAGTTCTCAGAAATGCAGAATTATTAGAAGATCTGGTGGCATTGCTTGTAGAACAAATAAAGAATCAAGTTCCAGATGTAGATGTTATTGTTGGTAAGAAAATTTCAACCCATTTTATGGACATCAAGTATACTCCTGCACAGGAATTTAAAATGTAAAAAGCAGCCTGCATATTGCTCAGAGCACAGTGGCAGATCCAGGAATTTGAAAAAGAGGCGCCCATTGTAGGACTTTACTAATGAAGCATACAGACCACCTCAGCCCCACCATGAAGTACCAAAATCTATTAGTATGGCACTTTTAGATGGTGGAAATCTATTGGTATGGCACTTTTAGATGGTGAAAAATGGCACTCTCAAACTTAAAAATATGAATGTAATTAGTTTTTTCCATTTTGGTTTAATTTTTATTTAATTTGGGGGCCAGAGTTGATGGGGGACCCTGGAATTTGCCACTGTAGCACATATTTATAGTGGTATCTAAACAAAACAATAAATAAGTTCATATAAACTTTCTGTTTAACTTTACAAGTAGTAATGATTTTCTGGCAGGTCTTGAGGCCCGGGGGTTTTTGTTTGGACCGCTTGTAGCACAGAAACTTGGCATTGGATTCGTGCCAATTCGCAAGAAGGGAAAGCTACCAGGGGAGTGCTGTCAGGTTTCCTACACTCTGGAATATGGAACAGTGAGTTACTAAGCATTTTTAGAAAATCTGTAATACAAAATATTTTGTTGGGGGAGGTGTTTATTATAGATATTTTGCATTAACTTAATTTTCTACATAGGCTATCACTCTTTCTCCCCATACACATCTAGATGTGTATAAGAGACAGCCACCCCACCCTCAACACTAGTCCCATAACTAGTCAAAATACTGTAGCTTTTTCAACTTTTTACCAGAAGTAATCACCCCTTTGTACATTCAGATGTTATTTACAAGGTACTGTACTTGAATAAATAATGATACAGCCAGCCACAGTGATGAGACTACTATAATATAATGCCAAGTTTTTGTAAAGCACTAATGTTACTGCGTTATGTTTATTAAAAAATTATTTTAATTTTTAAATTCTCATAACAAGTGTGATTTTGATTATTCAAGTATAGAATACTATAGTAGTAAAAGAAAGCATATTTACATTAAAACATGTTGCTTCTTTTTCAGGATGTCTTTGAAGCACAGAAAGATTCTATAAAACCAGGACAGAAAGTTGTAATCATCGATGACCTTTTAGCAACAGGAGGTAAATCAAAATTTGAGTACTCTGTAACATTAAAAATACCAAGTTAGGTAGTTTCTATTTAGCTTCTATGGAAGTGTCTATAGAATACAAGAATCATGGCATGTCCTTCTGTTATAATAGAGATTCATGACACTCTATGAAAAAAGAAAACCTGCAGAGGTATATCTGATCAGAATGTGAATTCATTTATTGTGAAGACGGCTGGTTAACATTTAAAAGTATCTGAATTTTGTATATTGCAGGGACCATGTCAGCCGCTTGCCAGCTTGTTGAGAAGTTGAAAGGACGTGCATGTTTATGTGTGGTGGTCATTGAACTTGTTGATCTCAAGGGCTCTGCCAAGTTCACCATACCCTCATTTTCGCTAGTCCAGATTTAACTCTTCCATATTCAACTCTTCCATATTCATAGCTAATCAAGATAGAAATTGATTCTTTATTTTTTTACTTACTGTAATTAGGTTCATTGATTGTTCTAATCTCCTACCTATTAATATTATGTGTCTACAGTATGTTGTATAAATGTAAGGCAGCAAAGACTCTAAACCAATACAATAGTTTGCATTTCCTCTGCTATCGTCAAACTTTTCCTGTGGTACATTACAGAGCAGCGCTATTGCGACCATACTGAAGAGAAAGCTGTCAAACTTGTACAGGTCTCTGGTGGTAATAAGTAAGTTATAAGTTTCTAATACAAGTGACTCTCAGGTAAAACACAGTAGTTATTAAAAATTCAACTTTGTTCAACATTTTGAGTTTTATTTTTTTTTCTTCAAAAGTACTTCTTTGCCACATTTCTCTTGAGCCAATTTTGTTAGGCCAGTCAGTGACAACAAAAAGTGCCTTCTTCATTGAACATCAATGCACATTTCTCTTTTTCTATTCGGTACAGCGCCACCAGCGAGGAGTGAAGCCTAGTTCAGCAATAAATGGGGATAGATGGTGGCATTCTGAAGAATACAATAACAGCCTGGAATCCTGACTATTTCACTACTTGATTGTGGTTTACACCAGAGCAATCGGATATGTTGGTGGCACCTATGCTACAGTGGGGCGCTTTCGATTCGCACGAAAAATGCAACTCGAAAATGGATTGATCGTGCGTGACCGTCCTACGTTCTATATTCTGGCTAAATTGCGTCCTAGAATCCCGGACGCGAGAACTCAACGTTCTTGCATGCGCACATGACTTCTTTGTGATGTCATAGGGTTAGGGTACGTCCTTTCGTCATTCTGCAATTGAGAGCTTCCTAATCTGTAGTGGTTGTTTGCATCAACGTCTAAATTGCTCTAGTGTAAGCTATGCTTTGTACACGGATTCTATAATTTCATTTCCAAGGGGTTACATGTCATCATGTGATGTAGAATCATGGAGCTGAATAATGTACAATACACTTTACAATTCATGTTGTTAGTAATTTAAAACTTAAATTGACATCTCATGTGCAACCAGATGATTTGTCAGCTGATGAGAAGACTAGTGCCACCCGAATTTTACATTTTCAATTTTAATTGCGCCAACTTGTATATTCAACTAAACTAATTCCTTTTATATTAAAAAAAAAAATTAGCAAAATTATAATATTCCATACATTGTTTTTGTTTTTTCACTTATAAATACCATTAGTATAAATTTTCAATAATTTCTATAAAAGGATATTTATGTTTACGATTAAGAACTTTTCTTGATGAAAATTTACGATAACACATAGACTATTAGTATTGGGACCCAGGCTGCCGACAAGTTCACTTAGGGCAGCTGTGTAAAGCTAACCCTAGAATAACAATATTATATGTTAATAGAATCTGTTATGTTGAAGCACAGTGAGCTACACTTGAGTAACCAGTGTTACATCTATTAGCCCTTATTGTGTTTTATAAGCTGGTTTTGATTAGTTTAATTATATTGCCCAACACAACTTGTATCATCATCAATGACTGCCACCTCTGAGAGCTAGTACCAAGTGCAACACGGACCCTCCCTGCACCTTGTAATCTGCAGCTGTCCTGTCATCGTTCCTGTAAAACAATATCAAATCAATATTCATTTAGCAGTTCATCGTCATAGCTGCAGAATAACAAGATATCTGTACTGAATGATAAAAATGTAGTAATTATTTTGAGAAAACCACAACTTATGAAAAACAGACAATTGGGAAAAACATTGAAATTTACTGAAGTAAACAAAATTACACAAATTGAAGTACTTCCCTGGATTGACAGCTTTTTATTACTGTGCTTGTTTACCAGAGAATTTGAGGGTCGATGCAAGAATATAGAAATATTATTTATGACTACAGTGGTATTTCCTATTACATAAATATAAAGAGCAATACAGTACTGTATAAACATTAAATTTCATTAGCAGAACAGAGGGAAGTATTATATTCCTTGCTATGAATAGACACCAGACTGTTACTGTACAAAACATTAGTTTTCTCACATCATCAATCAATTATTAGTGAGCTGCGCAGATGACTTTTAGTGATGTGATTACGTTCTACGTCCGTCGTTCATGCAATCGAAAACTCAATATTAAATGTGTCATACAATGATGAAAAGAGAACATGCAATGGACCTTCCTGGAGTGTCAAACTTAAAAATTGAGCAATAAGAACAGTACCAGGAATATGTACTGTACGTGTCTAACAAACACAGGTGCTGTCCGAATCAGGGACGGATCCGGAGATGTCCAAAAGGGGAGGGAGGGGGTGAAATTGGGCCGATCAAGACAACACTATCCAAGAGGTCCAGGGCATTCCCCCCGCAAAATTGTTGTGTTCTAGACACCCGAAAGTAACATTCGAAGTGTTCTGGGCTATCATTTTTTTCTTTTTCTTTCTTTTTTTTTACCAAATAGGGGGGTGCGCGGGGCTGGGCTTCCCCACCCCCCTAAATCTTCCCCTGCCAATAATCCACATGTTTACCTACATTTATGCTACTGTTTTGGGGGACAATATCAGAAGGGCAGGGCTTAGCAAGAAGATCCATTAAGTCCTACAGGAAACTACTGTACTTCAAATTTATTTATTTAATATTAAATATCCAAGTAAAGAGTAATGTACAGTAGTTAATAAATTACATTTGTTTTCCACTAAAGATAAGCCTTTGCTGTTGTGGTGGAATTCCTTCCTTTTCTTCTACTCGTTCTTTTATTCTGTCCACCTAAATAAAATAATAAAATAATAGTATGATAAATATATGTGTATTCGTATAATGCTCTATATAACTAAGAGTTAGAGTGCTCATGGTCCTTTTTCTGGGAGACTCCTGCAACTAGTGGGGGGACTTTGAACCCCTGAACATAGATTGTTAGCGGCAGCATAATGCAGTAGACAACCAGGCGGTACCGGCAGATAGGCCCAGTAGTTGAAGTTGTGGTAAACTCTGTTGTGGAAAAATTAATTAGAATTATTTTCTAAAGAGATAGCTGGTCTGAGAATGTCATATTTGGGTATTTAACTGAGGTGACATATGTAACCAAAATTTTTAGGGGCTGAGGTGGGTGTGGTCCCATGACAGACAGACAAACTTTATTTCATCCTTTTCATTGCAAATTACCACCAAACCCATTCTCAGTTACTAAAACACTCCCAGTTTCCATACTTAAGCTAGGTCCAAAAAAGATTAGATTTATTTGACTTATCTTTCATATTGATATACATTTTATCGTGTGACCTATCAATAATCCAATGTAGCTAAAAATAGAAGTAATATTAGTATAATTTATTAATTTTTTACTTTACATGTATAGATAGACAGTGACATACCTTATCTGTTGGTTCAATATCAATTTCTATCTGAAACAAAATTAACCAATATAAATTGAAAATATAAATCACTTATTTAATTTTATAGTAATTAAATACAAAATGTGTATTTGCTAATAACTGGTCAGAAAATTTTTTTGTTTTCACTTACCTCCTTTCCAGTTAATGTCTGAAATAAAAGAAAAATAAATTAGTGAATTTATTTATTAATTACAGGTTTACTGTAATGCCAAATTGGGTAAACACAAACTGGGCCTAGCTGGTAGTTTCTTTGCTGAAGGATTAACTTTCATTCTGGGCCACTGAAAAATCAATGTGTGGTGATTATGAAAAATGACATTTCACTCATAAATTAAAACCAAAAATATTTGATCCTAAAAATTTACATATTGATGTATTTACAAAGAAAAAAAAATGTTGACTGTTTATACATGATAGCTAAGACGTTAAAAAAATACAACTTTGCAAGCCACAAATATATAATATCATTAATGACAAAAGAAAATTATTTTATTATTAACTGAACTAACCACATACAGTTGATTCACATTGATTGACAACTGACATTCAAAAATATTACACAATAACAATACAAGTCAGAATAATAATATTAAGACAATCTAAGTAAATTTATGACAACACTCTTTTAACTTATATTTCAAGTCTGCACCAGAGGAGTAGTCAATTGTAACATTAAATCCGAGAAAGCCTAGGCCGGCAGTTTGATCCTCTTCATAGACATCAGCCTCACTCCGGCATGGTGAAGCGGAACTGTGATAAAAACATTTCCATGTCGTTAAACCCTAGGGCCTAGCAATAATTTACCACATTTACCAAGCAATAAAAAATTAGTTGTAGTACAAGTCTTACCTTAACTTTGATCAACATAATGATTATTATCAACACAAACTATCAGGAATTCAAAACTTGTAAAATATGATATTAAAACTTTTCAATCAGCGAAATCTTACAAAATGTACAAAAAGTATCGCGACTTGTGTGTATAGCGCCGCTCTGGTGCTATATGGATGTATCAAGCTGGTTGGTTTAGAAACCCACTGGCTAATGATTCCACCCAATCAAGTTGCAGTTTTCTAATTATTGATTTGGAATTGTGGGATAATTCTCGCTCCCCAAAATAAATAGTTCGCGCGTTGCGATTTGTGAGTATACTTCAACATAAATAGTGATTAATGTATTAGTTGGTGTTGTTATTATTGTTTATGTAGGCCGGTTACCTAGGAATCCGAATCATTATTACCAGCAATATAGTAGTGAGATACCAGAGCAACTGAGAACATACTTGCCATTCCACTGTTGTGTTAGTGAGGAATTAAGCCGAAGTAAAAATGCCTCGCATTGACAACGACATCAAGCTTGATTTCAAAGATGTGCTCCTGAGACCGAAGAGAAGTACTCTGAAGAGCCGATCGGAGGTGCACCTTTGGGAATCAGTCAGAAATCATTCTATTATAATTTTGATGAATGACGTGTGTGGTTTTCTTTATATCAATTGTGCTTTTGTAATCTGTCGCACTATTCTTGCACCAAATTATACTAGTAGGCTAGGCCTACGTACGAATAAATAAGCAGCATAAAAAACCTACAACTATATCTGTATACTACTAAGTAGTGGGGAATGGGGATTAGGCCTAGAGATGATTCATCAGGCTCACCATAAAAGCATGGGTATGATAGGTAGTGCTCTTTTAATTAAGGGTCTTGAGACTTGGAACTGTAACAAGGGTTTCTGGACAAAACGGCAATAAGTCAAAACGGCAAAGACCAATACGACAAAAACGAAAACAAAAAAAAATTTCAAATACAGACAAAATGAGGCTAGGGCCAATTAATGTCATAAAAGTAAAAAAATGCGAAATAATAATAATAATAATAATAAATAATAATATTAATAAACTTTAAAAGTGGGAAAAGGAGCCCATGGCTATACAGTATATTGAATTTGCCCATCGGGACAATTTCAAAACGATTCAGAAAATTATAACTGCGGCCGTGCCCACAGGCATTGATTTCGCTTCTTTTCATCCTGGTCTATATGCCATTTTGGTACTTGTCATTGAATTGCCATTTTGGTCTGTTGCCGTTTTGGTTCATTGCTGTTTTGATTGCCTGGTCATTGCCGTTTTGGTTTATTGTCGTTTTGACCTGCTACCGCAACAAACACATAGGCCTAGACGTGAATACTTTGTCATCAATTTGATTTTTGATTTTTTTTTTTATATGGGAGGGCAGGGTGTGGTTTGGATATACCATGGTTTGGTTGTGAACAAAGGAAGTGGGTTTGGCTATATCATCAAAACTCCCTCTCCCTGGTCTCATAAAATGTTGAGCTGACTTGGTGGGAAAGTGCTTCCTTTATTTATACTGCTGGAGTGTGGCTTTGAACCCAATAGGCTAGATGGCACCATTTTTTATTACGATTAATCATTAATATTACTACATGAATGAGATTTTGTTTAGAACTAGTGTCATTTAAAAGTCAGTTATTTAAAAAACCTACTTTCTCATCCAAACTTTTTGAAAATGGACGAAGGAAATCTCTTCTGACTGACGTTTTTTTTTTTTTAATATGTTGCACAAAATAGTATGGTTTGCTATGTCAAAAATTTGGCTCCAGCTAGATTTTTGTGCCAAAATGGATTTTATTGGCTTATTTTGTCATTTTTGGTGTGCTGAATCCAAACAAATTAGGTGCCATTATAAATTGCACATCATCAGCCTTCATTTTGAATTCCAATGGCTGATGTAACGTATCAAACATATAACACCACCGTGCCTGGTGTCATTGGAAAGGTACTTACAGTATACTGTATACTGTATATAATGATCAATAAAATTCCATTATTCCTATATCAAATACAGTAATGCATATTTACAATAGGCAAATACACAATTCACATGAACACAAAATGTAAAAAAATAATCAAACATAAGCTATCATGTTTGGTATCATCGGAAAGCTCTACCAATGCAGAATTATATTTTACACACACATATATTAAAAACTGAGTAGTTGTTCATAATTTTCCAGTAATTCAGCATACCATAAGTGATAGCCAATAAAATTCTTTTTGGCAACAAATCTAGCTGGATTACTATATATAGCAAAACATACTAAAATACACAAAAAAAGAAAGCCAGTCGTGGATGATTTAATTTGTTCTACAATTTTGTTCTGTGTTCACGATTCAAAGCTCCCTAATATGAATAAAACAGTTAAACATTTTTGTATGAAAATGATGGGTCTTTGGATGCTATGAGCAGTATTCCACACAATGGGGAAATTAAAATAATTATATAAACTTTGCATTGGATATGTTTGACCTTAATTAATACTGCACACAGTGTTGTAATGAAAGATGACGCTGGATTATAGTGCAGCTGTTAATAGTTGTATGAGAAACTTCATAGGGGTTACTGTCACAGAATACAGTGTGATGTGTACATGTTATGAATACCATAGGCCTTGTCATGGAGGTTGTATCTGTCAATGCAATGTATACTGTACTGTAGGCTAGAACTAAAGATTGTCATATACTCAAAATTGTTTCTGGTTGTTGTGAATTATTTCTGAAAACTGCAGTTTTTGTTGTGGCCTAAATTGCATGGTTCTAGAATGAAATTAACTTAACAGTTGGCCTACAATTTTGATTTTTATTTATTTTAATTAAGTCTAATTGAATTTTTATTATTAATTCTATTAGTTCTGTTGATTATAATTATTCAAGTTAATACAATATTTAAGTATTGTATGTGGTAGACACAGGATTTTAACCAAAATAAGAGGGGTGTATCCACAGTTCTTATATATTTTTAGAAATGATATTTTGTAATGTTGGTATTTAAATTAATGGGTGATGCATAAATACTCGCCCTCTATGGTCAATGCATTGCTCATTGCCCGTGTACATAAGTTATAATGAAATCTAATTTTAAAGAGATTGAACCCCTCAATCTTAAGTTTAGTAACAATAAAACCACAAATGTTGCAATTACATTCACATTAATTGTATTTGAAATATTAATTTAGACTAAATTTTATATCCAAATTTACATTTATATTTCCATTAGTATTGTTGCATCTGAATAATACAGTACAGTAGTAAGAATAGGAAGATCCTGTTTGCTGCACAAAATAACTTTACAATTTTGAACGTTGATCATCACCACACAGGTTTGCTTCAAAATTATATGAATGATTAATGAATGTTCCATTATTTATTAATAATATTTTTCTGTCTCATGTTTGTGAATAATCCTAACATTTGTAAGTAACAATACACTACACAATATAATTCATTTGAATGATGTGTGTTGCTGGTTTTGATTTTAGCAAAATTTGATTTAGAAATTCAGAATGCATCATCAGACCAGGGTTTTATTAATCAACAGATTTCTACACGGAATTTTGAGCATTTTGTCGTCACACAACGCCTCAGAGCAGAGTAGTTCTAACTCTGTTACCTTGACAACAGCCATCTGTTTGATTAATGTTAACTGGGCTATTTACATACCATTAATTTTGGCACTGAAGGAAAATGCATAATGTCTGTTATTATAAAATCCCTATAAAGATTTATACAAATAATTTCATTTTTTAAATTACAGAACCTTTTTAACCATATTTTAAACATAATTTTAAGATTCTCTTAATTAAAGCCAACTCAAAAAAGTGTCTTTGAAAGCTAACTCAAGGAAACATTGTGACTTGCAATGGACACTCTTATTGTGGCATTATAATTTTACAAATCATTTTAAAATATTAACATTATTAGTAATTGATAGTAATGCTAATATAGGCCAACAGTACTATGTGTGCTTATTGCATTATTATACATTACTAGTACTCAATAATCTAAATTAATATGTAAATTAAATAAAATATACTATTGGTAAAAATCATGGCAACATCAGTACACAATCGGGATTTTGAATTTGAGATTTACTTGCATTTTTCTGAAATTTCTCTAGGTTGATCTGTATCGCTCATACGTGTTTCGTAACTCGAAACAAAACTATGATGGTATTCCTGTGATAGCAGCCAACATGGATACTGTTGGTACTTTCACGATGGCCAAAGAGCTAGCATCAGTAAGTAAATTGAACTTTTTGTTTGTATGAGCTAGTGTTCAGTTTGTCATAAAGCTTTTGCTTTATTTCCATTGGTGTAGTTTGTGTTTAATCTACAACACTTTTCAGATGTGAGACTTTATATGCCTTGTTTAGTGAACCTGCCGCCCGCCAACAGAAATGAGTTCGAATAAATATAAAGACAAAAATGGAAATTTCAGGAAAAAATAAAAGTTTTTCTTTACTGTATTTTTATTATGCCTGCTGCTGCCTTGAAATTTCCAAAAATAAGGTATGTATATTTCCTCCTAATTATATAAATTTAAAGAATTTAACCATCCCATTACTACACATACATTCCCCAATAAAAATTTATTTTTATATTCTCCTCCATCTGGATTTTTTTAGCAAACTATTTGTTATATAAGAAAACAACATTTTTTTTCTGCCCTCCTCTGTCGATCTTTTAAAATATAAGTTCAGGAAACAAGGTGTAAAAAAAAAAATCTCGCCACAGTTGTAAATGTTCATCCTTTTCTTTTTATTTTTTGTTTTAAGTTTTAACAATACTGTGATACTCAGTAAATGCAAATGAATGTATATGAACTAATTAATTTTATTAATGATGTTATCTTATTTTAGAATGGTTTATTTACTACAATTCATAAGCACTATTCCGTTGACGCATGGAAGGAGTTTGCAGAGGAGAATCCAGCCATTCTTAAGGTAAGATGACACCAATGCATATTTAACCTTTATACTTTGTACCAGTAACATTTTAGGTCAATCATTAATTTATGATTACTGACAGAAGTAATTAATTTCTGTTTTGGAGTAGTAATAGTGTACTTAATAAGACAATACAGTATGTATGCAACTTTTTTGTAGAATTAACATTAGATATTTTTATCATAATATAATCAATAACAATAATGTGGCTTTTGTTGCTAACCATATGTTTAAATGATAATTTTGGAATGTATCACTCAGAAAATGTGGGTGTGAGGAAAAGGAAGGGGTAGAGTAATGTGTTTCAAATTAAGCGCCTTGTGTGCCATTTTGTTCTGGTATTTATTCAGTCCCCCTCTTAAAATAATTAATTTTAGGCCTATATATTTCTCTGATAATTGTATCCTGAATTTGTATATTTTTCAATTTTCTATCAGCATATAGCAGTTAGTGCGGGGACAGGGAAGGGTGACTTTGAGAAACTAACACAGATCATTGAGGCAATCCCAGCCCTCAAATTCATATGCCTTGATGTTGCTAATGGTTACTCAGAGATGTTTGTCCAGCATGTTAAGGAAGTCCGCCAACATTTTCCAAGTCATACAATAATGGTTAGTAATCTATGGATTTAATAATGAA